ACTCACCAGTGAGTTCCGGCAGCAGGTGAAGCTGTGTGCACTTGTGTGGATACAAATATAATTTTAAGCCTCACTAATTCAGTGCTCTGGCTTCGGCATAAAGAACACCTTTGGGGGTTTAAAAACAAGTATTATTTCAGCAAAATTTTTAGTTGGCTACCATGTTTAATTTTAAAAATAACTGAGCCTATCTTGTGAGATGTTACTTAGTTGGCAAGCAAATTTAGAAATAAGAAATGAGAGTTATATTTTAGGGGCCTTTCATGTCCCCTGGAAGAAATGAGGGTTTTTATATTCTTCTTTAGTAAATAGCTAGGGGACCTGTCTTACCCTATTTGCCATGAGAATAAAAAGCAATTACACGGACAAAGGTTGTGTTAAGGCACGGAAGTACTTCTTGATTCAGTGATGGTCTTATGATTTTAAAACAAAGTGAGCAAAACTGCCTACTACTGGCTGCCAAACACCGGATATAATTAGGTTAAACTTCTGCTGAGAACAGAGATCCAAACGAAGGGCTGTTTTCTTTCACAAGTCAACTTAAGTCCCTTTGCATCGTGATCATCCTCACTTTACTACACATTGTACCTCATTTAAAAAATAATAATAATAAGTTGGTAAGCCCAGTTCAAGCCTCTTTTCATTTAATGTTGAGATTAGTAGTCAAATGAACTAATAATGTCTAGACCCTTTGTTAGGAAGGATTTTCTTTAAATTCCTACTGGAAGAGGTGGCTTAGCCGTCTAAGCAACAGCTTTGAAATACCTAGACTCCCAGGAACCATAGATTGGACTCTCAGGAGGTGAAGAGAGCCCCTTAATTATTCTGAAACAGCTGGGGTGGCAGGCCACTTCCTGCAAAAGTGTCTTTCTACAAAATCTGAAAAACCAAAATAGTTTGTGGACCTTAAAAACACAATAACATTTCCCCTTTCATTTAGAGAAATCTGGTTTACTGTATGATTTCAGAAGTAACTCTGAATCCTTTTGCACTTCCTTGGCCTGCCATATCCCTAAGCTATTTGCAGGCAATAATATTTATTTGCTTAAAGATTATACTTTGAATTTGGCTAAGGATTAACCTGCAGAGAACTACATGTCCCTGTGGTTTGAGAAGGCCCTTCTTAATCTACTTTTGATTGACAGGGTACATTAATTCTCAGAGTTTTAGTTTAACATCATATTAATCCAAAGCATTTCTTCAAAGTCTTTTGTTGTTGTTGACGTTATGTTCTGGGAGGAGGCTCTCCTTTGCCCACTGTATTTTAGAAGTTTACTAGTGGTAAACGCCACTCCTAGAACGAGAGATTTTCATTACAGGTTTCTGAAAAGTATAACCATCCCAATATATAGAATTCAACATCTTAGTGCTCAGTGAGTTTTGCGAGCCACGTCGACAGGTGCTCAAACTCTCCAAACTTACCATGTGCACCCACTTATTAGAAACAGGATCTTCAGAATTGTCTAAATAAGCAACGTGGAGGGTTTTGCTCTCCATGCAACAGAATGGTTGCTATGAAATCCACGCCTTTAAAAGGGATGGATGTCCTCAGACTCTCCACAATCAGTAACTGAGGAAGAGTCTCCAAGGGGACAGGCGGTCGGTGGGCCTGCCTCTCGTCCTCGGGGGTTCACTTTTTGTCTGCAGCCCCCAGGAGAAGCAGAGCTTTGCTGAGGAAGCGGGCTCCCCGGGCTGCAATGGCAGCAGGCTCCTGAGACCCAGTGGAGGAGGAGAATCTAGAGGTGGAAAGCAAGGCCACGAGGCCTTGCTAACCCCCAGGATTGGGTCAGATTCGACTTTTTTTTTTTTTTTTTTTTTTAAGGATGTGAATGAGTTTCCTCAAATCATTATTCAGCGGATGAGGAGAATTAGAAGTTTATAAAATGGTCTTGGAGACATTATTTAAATTCCCTGTGCCTTAATTTCCCTATGAGCCAATGGGCATATTCATGCCTGGGTTCTTCCAGTTACAAAGCATCCGATGTTAAAAAATGGAAAGGATTTTAAGTTTTTACGTGGGAAATGCATGTGCAAAGTATTACTCATTTTTTAAGGTGCTGGATAATACACTGCTAACCACACTAAAGATTAACATGCATGACTGATATTATTTGGTTCTTCATATAAAATATGTAATGATCAACCATGTTTGTAATGACAGGGGCCCTGAGGGGCAACTGGTCTCTAGGTAGCAGCGTTCAGCTCTGGGCCAGGAGATGCCTCAAGGGAGACGGGAGTCTTGCAAGCTCGCTCTCCTCCCAGAAGATTTCCAGCCAGCGGCTTGCTTCCTTTCCCTTTTTTATGAATGGCAGTAGTATTGTGCTTCCGTCTGCATTTTTTTTTTCTCCCAGAGCCATTCATAAAAAAATAAAAACAAAATAACAACAACAGAAAGCTTTCCCGGCGCAGTCTGGAGCCAGTGGGTGCCAGAGGCTGGGAAAACATCCTGGCAGCCGTCACCCCGCGCAGCATTGAGAGCCTTCAAGGGTCTGTTTGTTTGGTGAAGTGCCGTGTGGAAGGGCGGGCAGCTGGTGGAAGCTGTGTGACACGGACTAGGCCGGGCGCCAGGGCTGGGAGCGTTTCAGACATTGTCTTTCCCCTCATTGAAGTGTCAGGACCTAATTCATGGAAAATTGGGGGAGCTGGCAGCCCTTGCAGAGGATTTCATTGAGCCCGCAGAGTGCAAACGTCACGTGGGTGCAGGATCCAGCCAAGAAGAGGGGAGGGGGGCTTGGGGCTGAGCAGTAGGAAGCCCTCAGCCTGCAGGAATGCCTGCGGGTTTGAAGCAGTTTGGGAGTAAGTGCGTGCAGGTGGGAAGAAAGAGAAGGAAGAAGAGCGGCCTGTTCTGACACAGGAGTCTTTTGAAATAAACACTTCTCTCTCCGTGCACACTTGTGAATCCCCAAAGGCAAGGAGTCCTCCTCATCCATAGTTCATTCATTCCACCTGGAGAAAACATCATCGCAAAGCCTGGGCTTTTATCCTGTCAGCTCTCCTATGATTTAACGTTAAAGAGGAGAGCTTTTTTTTCTTCTTCTTCTTCTTTCAGGGCACAAAAGCATTTTGCCGTGTCTTTTCTGTTTAGTTTGTTCATCTTTAAATAAATAAATAAATAAATAAATAAATAAATAAATAAATAAATAGCATCCCGGTGGTTTTTGTTTACATGTATAATACTACAGCAGCAGTAAGACATACACCATCACAGGAATTCTGAGAGGGGAAAAAAATGAATAGGCACTCTTATCCCTTCCATGATATAGTGAATGTATTCTAACTTCTGTTATTTGGGAGAACTGTAGCAATTCCCCCCCCCCCCCATTGGAACCGTGACAGCATGTCACTCTCCACATCAGAGTGGCTCAGGGGTGTTCTCAAACCTCAGCAATGTATAGACAGAATAAGGGGGACTTAATGGGATTCAGACAGGAGGGTGAGTACTGAAAGGAATCCATCGGAAAGTGGGGGCTTCGGTCTGCCTTTTACAATGCAAAGAATAGCTTAAATATTTTTCTAGTACTCTAATTCTCGGGAAATTTATTTAGGCTGGGTAGAAAATTTCCCTCAGTGTTTGACTTAAAAGTGGAGAGTTTTGCTCTGCAAACAGAATTAAGTAGGTATAGATAAGATAAAGACATAAGAATTAAATGGATATACAGAAATAAGACATTGCAAGTGACACCATCAAAAAAGTGAACAAACCCACCCGCAGAATGGAAGAAAATAGCTGCCAGTCATATTCTGATGAGACTTGTACCCAGAACATATAAGGAACTCTTACAATTCAGTATGAAAAGACAAGTAAATTTTAAAAAGAGCAAAAGATTTGAATAGCTACTTCTTAAAAGAAGATATTCAAATGGCCAACAAGCACATGAAGAAGAGATGCTCGACATCATTAGTCTTTAGAAAAATTCTTATCAGAACAACAATGATATTCCACTTTACACTCAATAGGATGTTTAAAAGGCAGACAGGGGCAATGTCTAGAGAAGGTGGAACCCTCATGTATTGCTGGTAGGAATGTGAAATAGTGCAGCTGCTTTGGAAAGCTACCTGGCAGCTCTTCCAAAAGTTCAGTGTAGTTACCTGTGTGACCCAGAAATTCCGTACCTAAATATATATATGTTCATTTTTAAGAGAAATGAACGTGTATCCACATGATCACTTACGTACACGTATGTCCATAGCAGCATTATTTACGGTAGCCAAAAGGTGGAAACAACTCAAATGTCCATCAACTCGTAGATGGGTAAACAAAATGTAGTGTGTCCAGAAATGACATATTATTTGGCAATGAAAAGAAAGAACTACTGATATGTGCTGTGACATGGACCATCCTAGAAAGCGTTGTGCTGAATAAGTGAAAGATGCCAGACCACAAAATACCATTTATTTCATGCTTCCATTTACACGAATGCAAATTTATAGAGACAGAAAGTAGGTTAGTGGTGAGTTAGGGATGGAAGGGCAGCTAGGGAGGCAAGAAGAAATGGGGAGTGGCTGATAAAGTGTATGAGGTTTCTTTTAGATGAAGTGAAAATATTCTAAGATTAGAGTTTGATGATGATTGCGCAGTCCTGTGAATATACTAAATGCTTTTCATTATACACTGCATATGGGTGAATTTTATGGTGTGTGAATTAAATCTCAATAAATCTTTTTCTACAAAACACAAAATATTAACAAATTAGGCCCGTTCCCTCCTCAAGTGTTTTGGTATTCTGACCAAAAAAAAAAAAAAAGGAAATGAAATAACTTAATTTTGATGTAGCTGGTATGCATGCCAGACTTTAATGGAGAATTGTTTTAACAGAGATAATCTGCATTTTTTTCCCCTTAACATATAGAGACCATGAATAAAGAAACATTTCAAACCTTAACATTTTCATCATTATTTGCAGATGCATGTCCATATTTAAAATATGCATACTTAATTTTTTTATTACATATGTTTTCTCTTAAACTATAACAGTTCTTTTTTTGTTGTTGTTTTTTAGCCACAACAAGTTGTTCAGAAGAAGCCTGCTCAGGTAAGAGATGGTCATTATGAGTTTTCCTACCAATTAATATAAAAAGTAAAATGAAAAACAAGTCCCCAATTTAAACCTTTAATTCATAGTTTTCTAGTTGGATTACATCAGCATTGCAGTATTCCTGACAATTTGTTGTGTCCTTCAGAAATGCACAGTAGGAGATTGTCATTAAAAACCCTACAAGATCAAGACCTTTGCTTAAGTGCTCCAGGCAAAGGTTTAAAAAGAAAGTGTTTATTTTAGTGCCTCGTGTCTAAAACATCAAATTGTTATGTGTTTGCCCATCCTTAAGCATCTAATTGTGTTCTTCCACCAAACTATCCATGTTTCATTGACTTGATATGGGACTTACTAGTTGCAAAGTATTTCATGATTCATGCCTGGAAACATATCTGTTTGTTGAACTATTCCATAACATTAAATGATCCCCAAATGCCCCCCAGGGAAGGCTGGGAAACTGGAAAATTAAGTTACACTGGTTTTGCAGATTGATGATTCTCAGGTCTTGCTTCGATGACTGAGTCATAGTCTCTGAAGTCTTGGGATACATCAATATGAAGAACCAGCTTTCCTTCTCTTGTCCCATATGACTGGAATTCCTTGTCCTGACTGTAATCCATACATGGAAACATGAGAATCATACTTATTGAGGAAGTATATTTTGAAGAAAGCAAAACTGAAGAATAGATTAATATATTGCCAAGTATGTGAGCTGTTATTAATGTATAAGGCTGTCCTACTGCTCTCCCCTTCTGGGTTTAAGGAGAAAATCAGGAGACCCAGGTGTAACATGCAGAACTGGCTGAAGTAAGTTATTAAGCAGCATCATGGGTTACCAAGTTCTTTGTAGATCTCTGTCATATAATTTAAAATATATATATGGGCCTTGGCCAGGTGGCTTAGTTGGTTGCAGCGTCGTCCTATTGGTTCGATCCCCACTCAGAGCCAGCACGGGAGGCAACTGATGGATGTTTCTCTCTCTATCCCTTCCCCTCTCTCTAAAATCAATAAATATATCCTCAGGTGATTATAAAAACAAAATCTATGGACTCTTTCCTAAAAGCCCCAAAAATGTATCTTGGCATCCTGTTCTTTTGGGACAATGTCACCTTGCCTGGGAAAGATCACCCATATAATATTATGGGTTCACTGTTTATATTTTACTTTGTTAACATTTTTATTGATGTCAGAGAAGAAAGGAGAGGGGGAAAGAGAAAGAAATATCAATGATGAGAGAGAATCATTGATCAGCTGTCTCCTGCACACCCCGCACTGAGGATCTAACCCACAACCTGGGCACCTGCCCTGTCAGGGAATCAAACAGTGTTTTGGCTCATAGGTCGATGCTCAACCACTGAGCAACACTGGCCCGGCTGTTTTTTAAGAATGCTGCTTGGAAGAGAATTGAAGCTTCTAAATATGTATTAGCATGTAGGAAATATATATCAAAAAAATTACATACCTGCTCATGGCTACTCCCATACCTAAAAACTGAAAGTAGTAGAAGGCACTAAAAAAATACCCAGTGTTTGAGTATTTGTACACAATATTAAACAAAACGAAATAATAACAAAAAACTTGGCATGTTAAGTAGTATGTACCAAATATATTGAGCCTTTCACCCTTTATCAGTAAGAAAATCAAGAGAAAGTGAATTTATAATTCTGTGCATTTGAATCAAGGGATACTGCAGTGTTCACTGTCGCATCATGAACCATAGCTTAATACCCCTATGTGGTTCCTTGGCAACATCTATTTAGTTGCTATTCTTGGTGTTATAAGGAAGATGTAACAAACAAAAACAGTCACTGTATCTAAGAAATGTGTAATCTAGTTCAGAGGTCCTTAACTTCATCTGCATAGTAGAATAACCTAGTGATTATACATAGACACAGTAGATCCCCCTTATTCGCAGTGGATACATACCAAGACCATCAGTGTCCTGGCCAGCATGGCTCAGTGGTTAAGCATTGACCTATGAACCAGGAGGTCAGGGGTTTGATTCCCAGTCAGGGCACATGCCCAGGTTGTGGGCTTGATCTCTAGTGTGGGGTGTGCAGAAAGCAACTGATCAATGATTCTCTCTTATTACTGATGTTTCTCTCTCTCTCTCTCTCTCTCTCTCTCTCTCTCTCTCTCTCTCCCTCTTACTCTCTGAAATCAATAAAAATATCCTATATAATAAAAGCCTAATATTCAAATCAACCAAACGGCAGAATGACTGTACACTAACCACCAGGGGGCAGACATTCAATGCAGGAGCTGCCCCCAGCCTATAGGCCCCTGGCCAGCCAAGGTGGGTCCAAGCGGGGGCCCCTGATTGTCCTGTCAGCCACCCTGCAGAGAGAGGCGACTGGTGGCAGCAGCAGGAGGCAGGCAGAACCAGTGAACAGGCAGTGCCAGGTTGACCAAGGCAGATGCCAGCCGGGGGGAGAGGAAGGGGGGACAACGACACACACCCTACCTGTGCATGAATTTTGTGCACTGGGCCTTTAGTATTAAATTTAAAAAGACCACCAGTGGGCACCTGAACCTGGAGGTAGTATTGAACCGTATTATATACTTGCACTGTTTCCTCTTACATATACATACCCATGATAAAGTTTATAGTATATATTAGGCACAGTAAGAGATTCGTGATGAATTGTAAATACACAATTATAACAATATATTATAATAAAATAACCATTGTGATCATCTGGATGGCTACTAAGTAATTAAGTGGGGGAAGAAAGAGAGGATATTTTGGACAAAAGGATGATTCACGACCCAAGCAGTATGGAGTGGGATAGCATGAGATTTCATCACACTACTCAAAGCAGCGTGCAATTTAAAACTTAATTTATTTCTGAAATTTTCCATTTACTATATTAGGCCAAAGTTTTGCTGGTAACTGAACCCACAGAAAGCAAAACCACAGTAAGAGGGACTATGGGTGGGTGTGTGTATCATACACCTCACATGGTGTGCATTGTGTGCTGGAACCAATTGTGAGCCTCTCTTCCATGGTCTGCATTCTGGGACAACATGTTGGTAGCTTAAAATCCACTGCACTGGCAATATTTGTGCCATGGAAATTGATAAACGCTACAAATCAGGCCTTTTTTTTTTTTTTTTTTTTTTTTTGTCCCCTGGAGAGCAAGTTGTTAAACACACCACTGGCCCCGTCCTGCCATGGTTCTGACTGTTTGGTCTGACTTCCCCAGTGATTCTCATGTGCAGCAGGGAGGAGAGTGCTCAGCGAACACACACGACACGAGGTTTGAACATTTGAAACACAGAATATTGATGAGGTACATGAGGGATACAAAATGCCACATGGGGATGATTCCCGGAAGAGTTTTGATCTTGATGTTGTTTAGTTGAAAGGGGAACATGGAGACTAATTAGGGGAAAGATCTTACGGGAGAGATGAGTGACAGTCAAAAGTAGAGGGGCAGAAACAAGTAAGCCACAGGCGGAGACTGATTGCAAGTTGGGCAGCAACACACTGAGAAATGATAGAAGTGAAATAAGAAAATGTCTTCCCAAGGCAATCCGGGATATTCAAGAAGCCACGGATGCACCGGGTTGGTCTTCACTGATCTTCACTGTCTCACAGACCCCGCTCCAGATTTGCCCTTAAGAGAAGAGTTCAGACTCAGAAATAGGGAGGGAAAGGGAACAGGAGCTCAGTGGACTTCTTAATCTCCATTGCCTGAGGACAGTGATGAATTGCATCAACCCAGGGACTACGTGGAAGTTCATGGAGGATAATGTAAATTTTACACTACATTCAAAAGAATTTCTTCCTTTTTCATCTCTTTCAAAAGACCCTCCCAGATGGTTTCCCAGGTGGCAGTCTAGGCTCATATCCTTTCTTCATCAGCAGTGTTTGAGGGGTTACATTTAGATCCTGTTGTGAGGTGGTGAAGATTTTAGCACAAGTAAATATTTTACATATAAAGAAAAGGGCTCAGAAGTGTGTAAGGAGTCCTAGGTTTTGCTTTCTAGCCCCTTCACTGGGCACACTAATCTCTCTGCACCCTGTTTATCCACCTTTGGAAAGGGATAACAACAACACTTCTTCCCTTACTCTCAAGAACATTTTGGGAGAGAGCGTTGTTATGTTGTAACTTATTTTGGGGTGCTAGGTGTCATTTTTATTTCCAGAGGTGGATATTCTTGGAAATTCTAGAATTCTAATTCATTTAAACTACCCTTTTTACTGCAAGGGTTTTTGTTGCTTGTTTTAAAACAAGAATGTTTTTAAACTCAGGGGAAATGTGTTTCTGTATATAAATACATGTGCCTAGCGAGAAATAAAAGTTTAAGGGGAATTCTACTGGGGTAGGCAGAGTGTGACTGGACAATTCATCAGCCACACGCCTCAAGTGTGTCACATAATCCCTGATGGGAAAGTTAGAGTCCCTTATAAATCTAAAGGGCAAAATCTATAATATTCGTATTAACTTTTTTTAAAATTCCAAATCCAGTAAAAGCAAAAGCTTACTAGTGAACTCTACTATATATTTTCATTCTTAAAGTGACAAAATAAGCACTAAATAAAAATTAATTAATTTTCTAGGTTTTAACAATTTGAAGTGGTTGAATCTTCAGCCCCATGGGTCACATTCTTAACTTTAGTAGAAAATAGTGGTAGATTCTGTTGCTGTCATCATTGTTTTAATTAAAAAAAAAAAAAAAACTATAAGTGTATCAGGTTATTGTCCTTGATTGAGGGAGCTATTTTTTTAAATATTTTTAATTGATTTTTTACAAAGAGGAAGGGAGATGGCTAGAGAGTTAGAAACTTGATGAGAGAAACATCCATCAGCTGCCTCCTGCTCACCACCTATTGGGGATGTGCCCGCAACTGAGGTACATGCTCTTTAGTGGAATCAAACTTGGGAACTCTCTGTCTACAGGCCGACACTCTATCCACTGAGCCAAACCAGTTAGGGTTCTAGTTTTTATTTTGATAAAAATACATTTCGCCCTGGCTGGGTGGCTTAAAT